TATTAATCATATAAATTCAAGTAAATTAATCCCTCAGTTTAATAAATCAACTGTTTCTAATTATAACCGTAAAGTCATGCCAATATCATTTGAAAGTAATACAAATTCTATTTTACGTATATTGTCCGTGAATTTCATTAATAATATTTTTGACATTCTTCAGATAGCAATGTAGCTTTTCGAAATAAGACTATGAACGAATTAATCCGTTCTTATATTGTTTATAAGTTCCTTTCTGTGCAATGGGTTGTAGACTATGCATCAAACTTGATTAAAATACCCGAAAAATTGCGCCTTTCATGGCTTACTTATTGGATTATAAAAAGAACTTTTTTTGTTCAATTTTGCGGGTAAGTTAAAAACTTCAAGGTTTTATTATAAAATATAATATATTAATATAATTATTCTGATATTTCAGAGGTGAAACTGATGAAGAATGCATTGATACTATGTCTAAATTAAGAAAGTATCATATTGGATCTATACTTGGTCCATCGATTGAAACTGATTTAAATCAAGATGAATCTTCATCAGATATTGAAAACGATGAAAAATTCAATCAAGTTACCAATAATTATTTAAGTTGCATTAAAACTATGTCAAAACTACCTAACAGTTTCGTTGCTGTTAAAATTACTGGCCTTTCAGACCCTTTGATTTTAAAAAATTTGACTTTAACTTTGAATTCTCTAAACAAAGCCTTCGATCAATTCGATAATGATCAAGATGGGACATTAAGAAAATCTGAATTAAAGAACCTTTTTGTTAATATCTTTGGAGAAAGTGAATCACGTCTTATTGAAAGAGTTTTGAATAAAGCTGACTCTGATAATAAATTAATTGATCGATTAGATTATTTCAAGATTTTACTGGATAATCGAGATTTTATGATTAAGCATTCAATGTTAAATCAAAAAATGATTAAAGCTTTTAATCAATTATCAACTAGGCTTGAACAAATAAGCAAGACAGCATATCAATATAATGTGAAATTATTAATAGATGCGGAACAAACTTATTTCCAACCAGCAATCGATTATGTAGCAATGGGACTATCTTTAAAATACAACAAATTTACTGATGAAAATAATGGTCCAATCATATTTAACACTTATCAAATGTATCTTAAGGATTCATCATCAAGATTAAAGAGAGATTACGAATTATCACGAAGAAACAAATTTGTATTTGCAGCCAAGCTTGTTCGCGGTGCCTATATGACTAGTGAAAGATTGATCGCAAATGAATCAGGTTATCCGGATCCTATCCACGATAGCTTAGAAGACACCCATGAATCTTATAATGGTGCTGTTACTTTTTTATTAAGCGAACTGTATAAAAGTAAAAAGAATTTAGAAGCTAAAAATGTCAATGACGGCAGCATTTACGATTCAAATATTAGCAACAACCCTTTGGCATCCGTGATTGCTTCG